CCATCATCGAGGTGTTTGGGGTCATTTCCATTTGTTGATTGAACCTTGTCAACTCAGATAAACTATTGACTGAGGATCGGGTTTCATAGGCTTCATGTCTTTGTTTATGAATTTTCTTTGTTGAAAGCCTTGAAGGCCGAATATGAATGTACAAAATAAATATTCCGGTCAATTTCATGACCGCATATTTATTTGATGGTCTGAACCCTGTCCACTCCTATTTATCTACTTAGGAGGATCGGGTTTTGTAGGCTTCATGCCTTTGTTTATGAATTTTCTTTGTTGAAAGCCTTGAAGGCCGAATATGAATGTACAAAATAAATATTCCGGTCAACTTCATGACCGCATATTTATTTGATGGTCTGAACCCTGTCCACTCCTATTTATCTACTTAGGAGGATCGGGTTACGTAGGCTTCATGCCTTTTGTTTAGTGAATTCTTTTGATTGTAGGCCTTGAAGGCCTAATATGAATGTATTAAAACAAATACATCGATTCCCATAACCATGTGTTTGTTTGAAGGTTCGAACCCTGTAGATTTCTATTGATCCGTATAGAAGGATCAGGTTCGAACTAGAATTCACTTATCGACCCACGCAGCATCCCTAGACATCACGTGTGTACCAATAATACGCTCGCCAGGGGCCACACGGGTGATTTTTATATTGATTTAGATGTACCCCATTGTGTACCTATGTGTATACAAACTATAGTGCAGGGGTACTTTGAAGTATTTGTAGTTGTGTTGATAACTATCGTTTGGATGCACATAACTTTTCATTTGAGAGCTTATATACGCCTTCTGTCCGCTAATACGAGTGTTGCGGATTTGGTGGCGTTGTCATTTGGATTTCATGAGGCATTTTCTCAACTTGATATTGACTCCCCTTTCTCAATCACCGGGGACGGGACTTTCTGGAATTTGGAGTCAATGACCGTTGATTTGAAAAGAACTCTTTTTAGGCTCTTCGATGTAGTGGACTTGTTATTTCCGGTGTTTGTGGGCACCAGAACTATTTTCTTCTCAAGTATAGAACTAAGAAAAGACTTTGGAACACCAGGAAGTTTGGTTCTAATTTATTCAAACATTTTCTCTCTTCTGCTAGGGGGTGTGCTTTTTCGTACATCGGGTTATCTTTGTACCTGGTATACTGACAACACTTTGATCACCACTGTCGTAGGTGATGCTTGTACTTGTGCCCATAGTGATTCGTTGTACCTACGACATATCCACTGTTATTATCCACAAGTGTTCATTTGCAGGGCATCGTTGTATCCATTATGACCTCCTGAAGGTATTTGTAGAAGATCCATTGACATCAGTACCATATTCACCTTTCACCAATCTCAGGTGGTTTTGCTAATTGTACTTGTTTACAAGGGACGATCCTCTTTCATACACCAGGCTACCCTTGTACCCGACATACTTGAAGATCTTGATCACCACTGTCGTAGGTGATATCCGTACTTGTGTCAACAGTGATTCATTGTACTTTCAATACACTGTTGTTATCCACAAGTATCCATTTGCAGGGGACCGCTGTATTCACTACGACCTCCTGGAAGTGTTTGTAGAAGGGTCATTTACATCAGTATCATATCCACCTTTTACCAATCTAAGGTGGTTTGTTGATTGTACTTGCTTGTAGAGGCGGATCTTCGATTGTTGGTCTCCAGTATTGTCATCTCAATCAACATGCATTTGTAGGGATTATCGTAGGAATTCATGCATCGAGGTCTTGTAGTTTGAGTTTCCCGTGTATGATCCAAATTTTGATCTTTGCATGTGTTTGAGTCCAAGTTAAGCTTCATTTAGAATCGAGTTCATCGAGTCTACAACTCCCACGTAATGTTGTATAGTACGAGTTCAAGTTCTTCATGTCGAGTTTGGACCTAGCATGAGCTTAACATACAAGTTCACTTGCAAGTTGACTGGCTTTGACAGTAAGATTTTCATCATTTGATTCAAGTTTAAGACTTCTATAAGTCTGTTTGTTGCTTTATTTTGTTTAAGTGTAAATGCTTGTTCAAGCCCAGTCCCAGTCCAAATCAAAGTCTTTGTTTGATGTACTGGTCTTGTTCAAGTCCCCTACAGTCCTTTGAGTTCACTCAGATTTGAGTCAAATGCTTACAAGCTCAAGTACACAGGTTCAAATGCTTGTCCAGAGTCTTCTGAAGTTTTTACAAGTTCAATTACATCTGAAAGTTCTCCACCACGAGTTCCCTGTTTGTTTGCTTGTATGATCTCCACCTTCAACCCCTTCATGAAATTCCCCTCCAAAACTGTGTCGGAGAGTCGCTCCACCCTGCTGGCCAGGTGCTCGAATCGTTCCCAGTAGTATGCTACTGATCCCTCCTGTGTCAGAGCAAAGAACTGCTCATAGAAATCTCCTCCCCGATCGGTTTGGACACAGGTTCAAATGCTTGTCCAGAGTCTTCTGAAGTCTTTACAAGTTCAATTACATCTGAAAGTTCTCCACCACGAGTTCCCTGTTTGTTTGCTTGTATTTGTTTGAATGCATTGATTTGTTATTTAGCATTTGAACTTTGATCTTGATTATACATTTTAGGATTTGGTTTCTAATATCTTGTAGTTCAGCTCAAATCCAAGTCCCCTGTTGTTCATATAAGTCCTCTGCACATTTAGTTCAAGTTCTGTGCATTTCTATTCAAGTACTGGTCATCTATATTGTTGCCCAAGAAGGTCTTCTTATTGCTCAAGCTTTAGTACTTCAGTGAAAATTTCGGCAGCACCCCGACATATCCTCCGTTTGGGGGAAAATAGGGGAGCTGGGCCTTCCCACCGCGCTACTCGAGCGTGTATGGTAGGTGTCCTTAGACACCGCGGCCGTATAAATTTTCATCCCACCACGTTACAAGAGCGTGTATGGGGCCTTCAGCAGTACCCGTACAGCAGAACACCAGTAGTTCTCCTCACCACGCTACAAGAGCATGTATAGGGCTCACCCACCTCGTCGTATGCATCGCACCAGGC